TGAAGGGTCCACAAAGTCGAATTTTGACGTTGGTGCACTCTAATTGGAAATTTTATTTCTGAAACTAAATATAATTAAAACCAAGGGAGCTACATTTTTTATATAATATTTTTTAAAAAAGCTACAAACATTTTGCCGTAGTCTCCAACCTGTGGTGAAAGGTCTAGATTGGATTGATTGGTGTAAATGCACAAGGTCTGCGTTGAAGAAGTGGATGGAAAAATTAACAATTTTTTTTTAAAAAAAACCCTTTCTATCTTAATTACAGAACACAGGATGAAGTTAACTAATTTTACAGCTATTAACAAGTTATAGTTCAAAACCTTAAAATTGTAGGGAAAATGTGTGACTTTTGTATTTTATCCTTCATTAAAATTACTAACATTAACAAAGTGTTGTATAAATTAAAAGCAGGCCAACAACTTGTTACGATTAACAAGGGGTAATATTTGACAAAAATTTTTATGATTTTATTTATAAATTATTTTTAACATATTTTATCAAAATAAAAAATTTTAAAAATTTGTAAATTCTATAAATTTTTAACCTTGCTCCTAATAAATATTGATATTTTATAATGTAATATGTCCTCCCACCAACTTTTAATGAAAAGTAAAAGAATAAAGTCATGACAAAAATTCAATAATGTAATTTATAAATAAGACAAAAAATGTCTTATCTTAAGGTTTTATAGATAAGATTGGAGGGAATATTCATGATCAAGTATGGTTTTAAAATTTTGTTCTATGCTTACAACCACAGGAAGTATAGTTTAAGGAAGTTGACACTCAGAAAGTAATAATTAAAATGCTGGGATTGTGACGACGTTGTGTGTTTAGGTATAATCCGAGCATCATAAGTTGAAGGTGGAGATGATATTAGTGAAGGAGAAAAGGGACAAAAATAAGCATGAACAAAAATAATAAGTTTGATGTCGTTTTCTTGAATTTAGTTTCTATAAATAGAATGTAAATATTTATATAATTTCACGGGACATATGAATTAATTGTGAAGATGAAAAGGGGCAACATGGATGATTTGTCATGAAAAAAGAAGGACCAAGTTGAGAAGCAATACATTATATACATCGGACATCAACGAGGGAATGAGAAGGCCAAATAGAGAAACGAAGAAGGAAATAAACAAGACGATGACATTTCCTGCAGCAAGATGGCAAGGCTTTCAGCTGCAATCAATTTGCTTGGCACTTATGGTAAAAAATCTCACCATCTCATCCACCATATCAACCCAATCACAGAGTCCACCTTCTTCCTCATACGTGCCTTTATTAAGTCCAGCCACCCATTGGCGATCACTTCCGATGTGTCTCTCCATGTGGGGTCATCCCCTCTCCCGGCTTTCTTTTCTGTGTGGTGTTTGCGTGTGTGTTTGCATATGGTTGGCTTAACTCAATTGAGTTAAGTCATGTTTGATTACTTAAAAAAAAAAAAAGAATTGAAAAAATTAAAATTAAAATAAATTAAATCATATTTTCTTCTATAGTTGAAAATTATCTTATTTTTTAAAAATTTTATAAATCATGATTTTCGATCTTATATATTAAATTACACCTCCCTTTTATGAATGTGTTTATCTATCTTTTTTTATCATTTTATTTTTATTTTTATTTTTTCAATACATTTTATTTCATTTTTTTTTAATAAGTAAAGGTGACCTTAGGAGTGTCTCAACAATCTCATGTGTGGAGAGGCATGATGAAAGGATACTTTACTGGATTACGTCATAGTTTTGTAATTTCTCTTGGATACGTTGTTCAATATTCCGTTAAATATACATATACATATATATATATATATGTAATATACTTTTCAGGCCAAAAAAAAATTAGATTTAATATATTTTGAATAAAAGTTAATAGTTTGAATTCTTTTGGTAAAACTAACAAGCAAGAAAGAAAATTGCTCTTACCCATCTATTGCCCGGCCTTGGTGTAGAAAGTCAGGGAACGATGAAGGTGTGATTAACAGTAATGTTATATGCAAACTCTTGCTTCTCATGTGTGTTATCATTGACTTTTTTGAAAAAAAAAAATACTAATGTTAAGAATGAGCTGGAATGCTGATTTTTAAAAATGATGACGATAATTTAAGAATTATTATTTTAAATAATAATAATTTCGCTTGAAAATAAAAAAAACATTGAATTTGAGCTGTTGAAATTAAAGACAAACAAGTCAAATATTATTTTACGAAAGATCGTGAATTTGATTGGTCAGTGATTCTGGATAGGGGATGGAAGTAAAGAGATGAAGGGAAGGAAGAGGTCTTTGGTTTGGGGCCTACATGTGATGGAGCCCACAGATCCAACGCAAGTGGGGTCACATCCATGAGATTACCCTGCTCCTGTTTTTCACCCTTATGCTTTCCTTCATCCAAACGCAACCATTTTTTTTTTCTTCTCTCGAGAAGCAAACTCAACCAGTTTTTTGGCTAACTGTAAAAGTAAAACTTTTTGGCAAATAAAAAAAAAGTAAAAGTAAAACTTTTCCTATATGTTTAAATACTGTGAAGATGCAATTATCAAAATTAAGAACATCGTGCCTAAAATTGACAGAATTGTCCTGGATTAATTAATTATTTGATCATTACGATCCACTAAAAATTTAATTTAATATGACTCAATCCTTATAATTTTAATAATTTAAAATATTAATCTCTATATTTAAAAAAATAATTTTAATAATTTTTTAAAATACAGAAATATAAATTTTAAATTGTTAAACTTATAAAAATTAAGTTGCATCACGTTAGAGTTTAAAACTTTATTATAAGTGAGTTAAAATTATAAAAATTAAATTATAATGAGTTAAAATTTAAAAATTAAATTATAATTGAATTAAAATTATAAATATTAAATGATTAAATTTTTTTAAAAAATTAAACGTGTGAGGGAGAAAGTGAGGAGGAGTAAAAATAGGCGGTGAAGGCAGTAAAAGGAGAAAAAGAAGAACGGCAATTCCCGAAAAAGGGAGAGAAAGAAAGGAGAGAATCTTTAAACTGAGGAGAGAAGATAAGCATGGTGATCATAAAAAGACAAGTTAAAAGGCCGCAGTGATTCTGCATCTGGTCACAGTAAAAACTCTGCCCCCTTTAGAATCTCTTTTCACCTTCTCTTCTCTTAATCTGCTTTAAATCCCATTTCTAGCCCCCAAATCACCTTCTCTGACACTTTCATCAAAATCCAGTATCTCCCTTCCTCCCCAAACACCCCATCACTTAATTTTTAGAAATATTAAGAAACAATTTCTCATGTTTGTTATCATTAAAACAAACCAACCAAAACAAAAACAAATACAATTCAAGGCACAGAGACAAACGCTAAACAACACGTACACTAAAAAAAAAAAAACAGAACCATGCAGAAAGAGAATAACAAGAAGAAGTAAAACAGCAGCAATACTCAGGACCAGAATATATTTAAAAAAGGAGCTGAAAGAGATATTTCCTATAATTAATAGGATACATTCTCCTAACAGATACTCCTTTTATTTTTATTTATAAGAGAAAAAACAGTATCATATAATTTAAAAAAATTGCCTAACTACATTAATTTTGAAAATAAAAGAATTAAATTATAATACTCTTTATTGATTGTATTAATAATCAAGTTTTCATTAATTATTTCTTATGACTATGAATAAAAAATTATGAAAAATAATTTAAAAATTTTATAATAAATGTCCATTCAAAAATATGATTTTGCTTATATTAAACAATAAGCTAAGAGTAATAGTTTCTTTTATGAATAAAAATTGATGGAGTTTTGTTTTGTTTGTTTGTTTGCTTTTTCTTCTTCTTCTTCTTCTTCTTCTTCTTTTTTTTTTTTGCATTTCAATCGCTTGCCTATGCTCAATTTAATTATACAACCGTAAAAAAAAAAAGGTCATACTGCTATTTTCAAGTACCGGGCAAGCGTTGGATTGGGTGCTGGCTCTGGCCTCTGTGGCATCATGCAACGGGGATCAATGGGTATGACAATGGCAGTGAGACATTGGACAATTATCCATTAATAAATCTTTTGAGTGATAGTAGAAGAGTACTAAACTAGTAAGCAATGACTAGGCTAATATCATAGGTGTAATCAATTATCAATGAAATTATTTTTTAATTAATTAAATATTAATCCTTCCGATGGTAATTATAAAACTGCAAGGAATAATTTTTTTCCCTTGTGATTTACGAGACAAGTCGTTAACTTTCTATCATAAGTCTTCACCTTTAGTAAGAATAAATACGTTATTAAAGTAGTAATATTTAATAAAAAATTAGCAAATTGTTAAGTTTTTCTTAAAAAATTCACGTGTTAAAGATTATAATAAAATATATTAAAACTGACTTGTAAATGAAACTGAAAGGATCATGATAGTACTTCTTGTATTATTCTAGGACACTTTTTTTGAAATACTGTCATGTTACTGAAAAAAAAAAGTAAAAAGCACTTTCCGTCATTGAAAGTATAATCAATAATATAGTGTTTCAAAATTACCCTTAATTGGGTGTAATATATGATGTTTTATTTTAATCAAGAGAACTAATTAAATTAAATTTAAATAAATATAATAAATCTTAATTTTAAATATTATTGATTGATTTAATAGAAATATAAATTAGTTAAAAATACCAAGGAGCACATATTTAAAAATGAGTTGCTGAAATTTCATGGGATTACCTAAAAACACAAGTTACGCGAGATTTCCCGCATTGAATTCCCTTCTCTCGCTTTCACCACTGACGTGTGCTTTGGCCTTTGGGAACGACCTCAATAATATAATAATAATAATAATATAAATTTATATTATTATTATCATTATTATTATTAAAATACCGACGATATTTAATTATTTATTAAGAAAATAGTGGTGGGCCTCTCGAGGCAAAGAAGGCCCAGGTGATACCCACTGCCACACCTTCTGCTTACCCCTTTTTCCAATCTCACCCTTCTCTTTAATATATATCTATATATACACACCCCTCCCCCCACCTCTTTGTTCTTAGTTTTCTGCTTCACTCTGTTTCACGCTCACTCTCTCTCTCAACCCCATTGCAATTTCACTCTGTTTTGCTCTGTAATCCATGGCTTCTTCTGCAAATCCGTGTCGTACAGAGACTGTGCCTCCCTTCTACTTCGACGAGAAGTGGAAGTTGTCCAAGAAAGAGGCTTCTTCTAGAAGCCGCTCTTCCATTTCTTCCTCTTCGTCTTTCATGAAGAATTCGACCGACACTCGGAGGCGCTGCGCCTTCGCCAGAAAGTGCGCCAAGCTCGTCAAGGAACAGAGGGCTCGATTCTACATCATGAGGCGCTGCGTCATAATGCTCATCTGCTGGCGCGACTATGGCGAATCCTGAAGACACAGCCAACAAAGGGGATCTCGAAGAGATACTCCAAGAGAAAAGTTTCTCTCTCTCATCCTCACTCTTTTTTCCAGATCCTTCGCGAGGAAGACTCGTAGCGATGATACACCTGTACATATAAAGTTATTCTTCTTTCTCTCTTTTGGTTCTTCTCAGGTGGTTTAGAATTGGAATAGAAACTTTTTTTTTCTCCCTTTTAGGGCTATGCATCTCCATTGATGGAGGTTTCTTGGTGGTGGTAGTGTTAATAGTGCTATAGAAGAGAGACTAGAATGAAGGAATTTATGAATTAACATACAGTTTTGTTTGATGATTAATCTACTCGGCTTTTCTGTGTTACTGTTGAGTTGAATTTGTGGCTTTGCTTGCTACTTCTGGGTGTGAATGGTTTTTTGGGGGCGGTTTGAGATCTGAAATCTGAAGGGAGATTCCATGGAAGCAATCAATGGCAGGGAAGAGGGTGAGGTCAGCTAGGGGTGTGTGTTAGATCTAACGCCCTCTTAGGGTGACGCAACCACGCTTGATTCTTTATTGGAAAAAAAAAAAATTGGAGCATGGAAGCTGAAAACCAAGTTCAATTTTTTTAAAAAGAAATGAAAGCAGAGGAGAGAGATAGAAAGAGAGAGAAAAGAATAGAAAACTCATCGGAAAGGCCGAAGCGGCAGCAAAGATGCCCTTGTTCCATCCTTAAATATCGTACTAATTTTGATGCTGATATTATAGGTCGGTTAACGTGTTAGTAATCCAACTTTATACCTTTAAACTTTAGTTACCATTAACTTAAAAATTAAATTAATTACGAAAATATATTTTGGACCACGGTGTATTAGCTAACCGTTTGAAACACTTGTAAATATATGCCGGTATGAACTTAGAGTATTTTAATTTTTAACTCTGATTTACTGTATTTCCTTCCATAAAAAGTCATATAAACAATTCAGAGTCGCCAGTTTTCAGTTTCTAATCGAGTAACCGACTTTTCTGGGCTTTTTTTTTTTAAAAAAGTAGTAACCTTAAGAATTGGTTATTTTAAAAGATAAAAATTATCCTAAAAATTTCTCATCTCTCTACTGTTGTCTATCTCTTTTGCTTTTCAGATGGCCTTTAGATCTTTTCGTAATCTTGATATCCCCAACCACTCCCTCAGTCTTTTAGAATATTCTTTGATTTTAATATAAAATAATTGATGAGATATTAATTATATTTTTTAATATTATTTTTACTTGATTTTATTAACTATAACAGATAATATCATGTAAATTTGAAGATTTTTTTATTTAGATGAATAAAATTACAATTTTATTTTATTTTTAGACAAAGTTAATGATTTAATTGCATTCGTTAATTCTGATAAAATAATTAGAAGTATTTTATATGAGGATTGCAGGGAGTGTTATTCTTGAAAATATTGATTTTGAATAACTTGATTTCATGGAATTTTGATGTTTTGGACTAAATTTAATTAGTCAATTTATTCATTATAGGAAATAATAACAGAAATTTGTGGTGTACTAAAAAAGAGTAAAAGAAATACTACAGGGAAGATGGCGTGGAAGGGGTGGTGGGGATTATCCCAAGTTGCTCGGTGTCAGTTACTACTGCCACGCCGCTGGCTGGAGAAATTAATTGGCTCGATTCCCCTCGCACTTTCTCCCTTTCGTATTTTTATTTGTGACCTGCGAAAATGACAAAAATGTCCTACAACTACCCTCCATTTGACCACTCGCTGGACCACTTTGACTGAGGCCTTTATTGAGTTTTCACCTTGAACCGACCGGGACGATTGTAAATGGGGTCGATGAGTGAGGGCAATATGGGGGAACGCAAGAATGGTGAAAACAGCTGTTATTGCTGTAATCTACAGGGAGGGATAACACTAATACGGGTAATGTAAAATGACTTATAAAGAAAATGTTAAAAAAAAAAAAGAAAAAGAATCTTCTTCCTGTTTTATAAGTAAGACTAAAGAGGGCACTTGTAGGTGGTGGGAGTGCTGTGGGATCATGGATCTCAAAGAAAAAAGCAAGGAATTGGCTTTGGGAATCTTAAAGCTTCAAATTCTATATTAAGTAATATCTGAGAAACTATATTAGACAAGAAAGTTATTTGTTTGGCGTGTCATAGTCATGGTATAGGAACTTTTTTTATTAAGAAAATTAATTAATGGATTAATATTGAAATGAAAATGGAAGAATGAGTAGCTTGGGAATGGCAGGCTGGCATGGACGCTGACATTGGCATCTCAGCTTCACAAGATCGACACATGTTTTCACCCTCACGCAATCACGTTATCGTTGCTTTCTTTTTTACGCCCAAACGGCTAAACACCCCAAGATAGGGGAGAATTTCAACCCTTAACCACATTTAATAATATTTAAAATTTTTAAATTTTTAAAATTTTTTTGTAATTCAAAATACTGAGTTGATATGAAATTTTTTTAAAAAATAATTTTATTATTTTTTATTTAAATTAATATCAGGATTTTTTTATTTCACTTGTTAATCCCCCTAGTTTACTTGCTAATTTACTTACTAAATATTATTAATTGCCTCACTTCACTTATTTATTTTTTTGAAATGAAATTAAGTAAATGTTTAGCAATAAATAAATAAAGTAAGGTAATCGATAATAGTCCCTAAATAAATAAATAATGTACAGTATAAGAATCAATAAATTATTTTAAGATAATTAATAAGTGAAGTAGAAAAATTTTGATATTAATTTGAAGAAGGGGAAATTTTTTATTTTTTAAAAAATTTAATTTAATATCAAATCAATACTCTTAAATTGTAATAAAATTTTAAAAATTTGAGAATTTTAAATGTAAATAAATTTGGTGAATGGTCCTTTATCGAAATTCTTTCCCAAGATAAACCAACAGCTACTGTCAATTTTAAACCATTTCAATGTCAATTTTATAACATTTTATGCAGTGGTGCTTTATTTAACTAGTAGAAAAAAATTAATTCTTACATTTGAGATGCTAGGATTCAACTCTAGGAATGTGAGTTTAAATATATATATATATATATATATACACACGCACATTTAATTGGATGCAGATGATCAAAGTTTGCTTCAAATTAATATTTTTATAAATTCAAATTGTTCAAATTCCGTCTTAACATAGCATATGATATGATCAGTGAACAGCGAAGGTTATTATAGGTTTTATATTTTACACCAACAACGACTATTTGTTTGTGGCATACTCCCCAAGTAGTGCGAGAATCTTCATCTCGTGAGTTCGAATATGGAGCCCAGCCAGGTGTCTTCCACATGACAGAAAATAAAATCATAGATTAACTTGGTGGTAAACAAAGCGTGATGTTAATTCTGCTCTCTCATAATTGATCTTCAATTGCCAAGATAGCAGGATAATTCGAAGAGATTCGATTCGATAATTTTATATTTTATTTTTCCAACTTTTATTTATTTTATTACCATAAAAGTTGTAAAATTTTGCTGCGGATCACTTTAAAGTTTTCACTAAATCATTCGCCTTCTTGCTTTATATCAAGATCTTCTCTTGCTTTTTACATTATAGTCAATACAAGATGATTTACCTTCAATTTATCCACTGTAGAATGGGATTTGATTGTTGACCACCAAAAGAAATGAGAGTGCGGCGACTTTTTTATTAAAAAAAATAATGTCAGGCGTATGATTTGCATTCCTGACTATTTTTGTCAACCTGCATTAATATATTTTCTATCTTTTCTTTTGCCATGAAGTGTGAATGTTTTACATGTTGGCAAAGTGAGTTCAGCCAAACGTAACTGCACTGACTAGTTTGCAATTTCAAAGTTTATCTATGAAAATTTTAAAATATAAATAATTATTTCAATGATCGTAAACAGTAAAAAATGACTTTTTCTTGGTCAAATGAAGTGAAAGTCTTAAAAATATTTTAACGAGCCCTTTAATTGAAGAATTTTTCAAGGAGATTAACAAAATAAAAAAATTATTAGATAAACCGGATGTACCACGCTATCCTTTCTCCATTCAATAAAATACATGACACTTAAATGACTATAAATATGAATTAATCTTGCCGTTGATGATGAGAGAGCGAGAGAGAGAGAGAGAGAATAAAAAATTAAGTAGGTATTTTATTATAAAAATAATGATACATGATAGTTGATTTGATTAAATTTGTGTAATTTTATTAAATTGAGCATGAATGACAGTGCATTGGTTTCATGTGAGAATTTCTCAACAAAATGTATCCTTTTGTCCCAACATATCAATTAGAGAACAAAAACAGCACATTTTATTTTATTTTTTTTAAAGTGCTTAATTGTTTTAGGTGAGAAAATTTGTCCATGCTTGTCGGAGTAGCTAACAATAGAAAAATTATTGTAAAATAAAAATAGTGTGATTTTAAAGAAAAAATAACTGAAACATAATTCAATCTTTCCGCTAATATTTGATTTAAATCAGTTAAAATTAATTAAACAATGGAAGATTATCCAAAACAGAGCATTCTTTTTCTCGAATTGAAGTTATTTGGAATGAAAACGATTTTAACGGCTATTGATCCCACTTTAGAACTTTAGGCGAATGGGTGTCACAATCAATCAAACTTGTTGAGATAAGCATGTTTATTGGATCGGTGATATTAACTAGGCCCTATTTGACAAGGACATGTTATCGCCAAGAATAATAAGGTCAAAAAGGTAATCGAACTAGTTTCATTAGCCATTGTCGCCACTTGGATTCATATTTGTCTTGCTCGTTCAAAAGAGATCCAAAACAACCACCGCACAGTGATTTTAATTATTGAATTTCATGTGTCCTATTTAAGTCAGTGTTAATTATTGTTCATGGCTCCTCCTATTTTCAATAATTATAAAAATGTCCCTACCTTATCTGTCCCTTTCTCTTCCCCACGCTTAATAATTTGTGTCCTTTCCTAAGCTCAGTACTTCAAGCCTAGGAATAATTATTAGCAAGCTGTGTTTTTTTTTTTTAAACCTTTTTCTTTTTCTTTTTCTCCCTCCAAATCTCGATTAGACTAGCTTTTTCGACCCAAAGAAAATAGACTAACTTTGCGTGCACATGCCTAAATATATATTGGCCCCATAAAAGCAAGAACATGTAGGAATTAGAGTTGAAAATCACCGGAATCACTTGTAATGCTGAAATATTTAATATCCACTTTGTTCAAAAATCAAGTCACACTTTTTTAGTGAATATAAAGTGACAGTGTATTTTTAGAAATTAAAATTATTCTGCTTTTTTGAAAATGCTCCATGGAGCTGAGGTATTTATATATTGCTAGTCAGTGGCGTGTTTCTATTTCGTGGAGCTGGCACATTTCTGATAATCATATAAGTTAAAAAATAATGCGTCGAAAGCATTCGGAGATGCATAA